ACTTGACTTAAAATATTTTTGCCCTTCCTTGCCTTTAAATGAGTGCCCTTTGCTGTGCTGATGTTGCTACATGCCTTAATTCTTGCCTATCTCACACTGCAAATTTTTTCTAAACTCTATAATAAACATTAAATCTGTTACGAAAAAAGAATTAAACAAAATGAACACAAAACGATCCGCTTTAAAAAAGGACTCGTAACTGGAAAAACCGAATAAAAAAAGAATGTTAACAACAAATACTTTTTCACACCCAAACCAGTTCTGCAGAATCAGAATCAACGTTGAGTTTAAGCAAGCGAATGAGCCAATTGGAGTAAAGTGCCATGCAGATTTAAATTTTTCCCACTTGTGACGAATGCAGCTATCGATTGCTAGTTCATGTCAGTCAGCTGTTGGCTCTCACGCTGGCCAATAGAATCTTCCTGCGTATTCGTGGCAGCCAGCTATTGGCTCTCACTCTGGCCAGTACAAAATGGCTGCAAACTACATAAAAACTACCATAGAAGCAGGAAAAAATCGATTATTTCCTCTATCAATGGGAGTTGGGAAATGCAAAGTCAGCCTTGGCCTTCCTGCTAACTTGGAGCATGTGCACGTAAATTTTGGAGCAAATCCGTCAAAAACTGTGGCCGTGCATTTGTTACACACACACATCCTGCCTTTTATATATATATATATATATATATATATATATATATATATATATATATATGTGTGTGTGTGTGTGTGAGTGTTATTACTATAAACATTATTTTATTGGGTGCATGTATTTGAGGAAAAATCCCTGTTATTTTTTCTACAAATAGTGATCCTTGCCAAGAGGTACATTTTTGCTAATAAAACATTTAATGTTCTATGCTGTGGTGAAATTTCAAAATTCAGGGCATTTAATAAAAATGCTGACATAGATAAATTGATAGATAGATATGAATGGATTTAGGTAGATATTAATGGATTGAGACAGACAAATAGATAGATAGATAGATTTGAATGGATTGGTATACATAGATATGAATGGATTGAGATAGATAGATAGATAGATAGATAAGACTAGATTGGTATAGATAGATATGAATGGATTGGGATAGATATATATGAATGAATTGGTATATATAGATATGAATGGATTATTATAGATAGATATGAATGGATTGAGATAGATAGATAATGAATGGATTGGGAAAATATGAATGGATTGGGATAGATAGATAATGAATGGATTGGAATAGATATGAATGGATTGGGATAGATAGATAGATAGATAGATAGATAGATAGATAGATAGATAATGAATGGATTGGGATAGATATGAATGGATTGGGATAGATGTGAATAGATTGGTATAGATATATAAATATGAATGGATTGGGATACAGATATGAATGGATTGGGATAGATAGATATGAATAGGTTGGGATAGATAGATCGATAGATTATTTATTTCTCTTCTATACATGATGTCAGATATTATTATGCAAATTAATGTTTCACAATATAATTGATATTAACCAGGTAAAGATAAAGTTCTCAGGATATATCTAATGATCCATATATTGTATGCATTTGAACTTACAATATCCCTCCTTATTAAAAATAATGATAATAACTTGTTTTGGAAAGTATCAAAAATGCAGACATCACACTGCCATGCCAAAAGTCATGGGATAGGTGATAAGTAGGACCCACTTTAACTCACTATGCAGTTACATGACAGTGATTCCACAAATGGTTAGAAAACTTCTGGAGAGATGTTGAGCCATGACATCTCAGTAGCTGTCCACATTTCCCTGATGTTTGCTGGTGCAGGATCTTACTTAAAAAATACACTTCTTCTCCATGTTCCATGTAAGTTTGATTGGATTTATGTACTGTGAACATATTGCCCACACCATTTATCAGAAGTGTTGCAGACCCGGTAGCGTGCAGTGCTGGTTTTATAGAAAGGTGGCCTTGTGCCAGACACCACACAAAACTACCAAGTCCACAAACAAAGTATAAATATTGTGTGAGTGAACAGAGAGGAAAAGTGTTCATTCAACACGTGCATAAATAACAATATCAAAAAGATAGCCTGAATTAAATGACAAAGGCGTCTGATTGCAAAACATATGAATTTTTTATTAAATTGAAACAAGTAGGTTGTCTCGTCATTCGAGATCATCGCGCCAAAACCAGAAAGCAAGATGGACAAGGCGGGAAAAAGGTTTTATCAGAATGAAAGTTCTGGAAAAATATGACTCGTTAACACGAGGTGTAGGTGTGCACAAATAGAAAGAGTACTCACTGTGGAATTTTGCATTGTGAGTGTGTGTAATATTTTTTTGGTATAGGTTCAAAGTAGTTAGAATGTTCACGGATACGAGAAGTCTCATTCTTAACTGTTGAAAGTTTTAAAGTTCCCTTGATCATAGATGTAGGCAGACTCAACAAGACGTTCGCATTACGACTAGAGAATAGTTGTCGAAAAAGGTGAAGTGGCGAAAGTTCAGTTGTCTCGGAGTTTTTGGTCGAAAGACAAAGGGAAATGCAACAAGTTGTTGACTTAAGGATATTGAATTAATTGCTGAAAATTAACATCGATTTGATGTGATTATTGCCGGTTGGATATCCCTGTCTGTATTATGGTTGACTGACGAGGGATAAAATAAGTCAACTTGTTGATATGAAGTTCTGACCACGACTGTGCCGTGTATCTCAACGTTTTCTAGTCGAAAGTGGAGAAGGTCCGACCTGCGGGTTACATCAAGACGAGAATGAGTCTTGGGAAAGTGTAAGGTTGACATGTTGAAATTTGGTAGTTAGGAATAAGATATTCCGGCCCGCATATGGGTTAAGGGCACGGAATTAATGAGTTGCCCGTCTAGTTAGCTTGAAAATTGGGATGCAACTGAGTTGGAACGCTGGCGTCAGTGACGTCAAGAAAACGCGTGGGAAAAAATTCAAATTCTGTTAGGCTGACTTTATCAGCAGGAGCTAGTAAGCGACCTTCCTTCCTCCAGATTACTGTTACGTCTAGCTGAAAGAGAGAGGAAGGGGTGCAATCTGCGTGTGTGCACACACGCACAAGTGTGGTAGGAAGGGCGGAAAACTCGCGCGCGCTTAAAATGTAGATGGAATTACTGTGTTATTCCATAGAAGTTTTTCAGATTTATAAAATTTTCAGCATCTTAAATCTAATAACAGTGCATTATCCTGATGGCATTAACCCATCCTTGTTGAGGTACATGGAATCCATGAATGAATGCAAATGGCCATGAAGCAGTGCAATGTAGATGTCTCCAGTCAATGAGGTGTTTAGGTGTTCTATGCCCTGTGAGCACATCACACACAATCTTGAAGCTGCTAACAGCCTGTAGCGTGTCTTTTTGTCAATTGGGGTCCATAAATTAATGAGGTCTTAATCACACAGTCCTGAAACAAGTGGAACCATGACTCATTGTACTGTACCACATATTACTAATACTCCAGAGTCCAATTAGTGGTCTTAAGGCCATATCACATTGAAGTTAAGTAATGTTGAGCCTGGTCAGTACCTAGAGGAGAATACCAGGTGCTGTAAGCTTAGATGTGTCAGTAGTATAATGAATAATGGCTTGCAATTGGAAATCAGAGAGCTGACTTCAAATTCCAGTCAAGTTCATTATATTTACTTATGTGCAAATACCATTGGGAAAGGTATGAATCCACCTCTTCTTCCCAAGCTATAGGTTAATTAGTGCTTGTATCAGTAATTCATTATTGTCTCAAAAAAATTCTTATAATCAAAAAAGTCTTATAAAGTAAAAAATATTTTTTGGCTTTAAATAACCTGCAAAAGATTTATAAGTCATTAAAAACAATTCAAACAATCAATCTAATTAGTGATGTCACAAGACTAGGTGATGCACTGTGTTTGGTGTTAACAGGGCCACCCTGGTGGATCTTCTGCTCTCATATCCCATAGAAACTAAAGAATGCTAAACTGACCTACTGGATATGCATGTGGTATCTCTTGCATTGAATATGGATGTGATTTGAGCCAGTCGTGCTTAGCTGTTACCAAAGACAATTCTTACCAGATATCTCTAGTCATGATCATTAAGGACTTGTTGCTAACCACTGTGCTTTTCATGGTGGGCAGCGTTATAATCTGCTTCAAATTATACCTCTTTCTGATTCCCTCCACCTTAAAACCTGTTGGCCAGATGTGAATACTATGAAAGAAAAATAAAAAATAAAACAGTTGATCTCTGTGCTGAGACTTTGTGTCTCACATTTGCATTACAGAACAAATCTCACCCAAAAATAAAATAAAATTTAAACATTGGAGCCAATCTGAACATTATTTTTAAAGCAAAACCATGACAAAAATAGTTATGTATCTACCTTGACTGCTTAAAAGGACCCACTCTGTGACCCTCAAGGCAGTTCATAAGCAGTTCACAGTGGCCTCTTGGTCAACCATCCTGACACAAGTGTCAATGCAACACCAGTACACAACCAACTCTCCCACCTTCCAGATGAGATACCTTCACACACAAACATCCTTTCCTTTTATCACTACTGACTCAACACTGCTGACTCAACCACACCAGCTGAACACCAGTCAACTCATCTCCATGACAACTTATTTCCAGGAAAACTCACCACCAGTCTACTTAGTGCAAGGATAACTTAGTGCTGGCATTGCTATAGTCTGCACATCTCTTAAATCAGCTTTGAGTCATAAAGATTTTGAAAGTTTAACTATTTGTCTTAGTGATTTATTTGTTACAACAGCCTATTTGTCTGAATGGTAATTTAATTTTTAAACTTTTCATCACACTGAAAATGAATCATTTGCACATGAAGGCCATTTATTTGTATTTGATAAGTTGAGTAAAAGAGACCGCAACATAAAATTTGAGCATTGTCACCAAAGCTTCAGGTGCAGTGCAAGGATTCATATGAAGTTTGGAGCAGTTGTCAAGGAAGTAAAATGTGTAACACTATTTTTGTTGCTGGTAATTAATAATCATATTGGCGACTTGGAATATCAATGAAAACCAGATAATGATGAATAACTTAGCATGAAAAAGGTTAACCAATATCAGGAAAGATAGACTGTTCCCAGAGAATCGAGATATGAACAATGGATCAGATGACTGCCTGAAAGCAAGTCTTAGTTTGTGCAAACAAGTCAAGTGTTGACAGCCTGTGGCAACCAATGCCTGAATCTGACATGAGAAGAATTGGGCTAAAACGAAATTAATTCATCTTGCCGCATGTTGGAAGGGAAAACAATGAATTGAACACCTGTTGAATGGTGACCTTAGGCTGAACAAATTGTCACCATAATGGGAGTTGCAAAAATTTCCCTAAGAATGTGTCTCTTGGGTCAAAGGCAAGGAAGCCAATTGTGGTGTCAATTCACCTATGAGATAAGAATATTTGAAACTATATTTTTTTTAATTAATTACAGACCGAATGCTAGAGGTGATAGGTGCAGATGAGCGATCAAGGAAGGAAGAGGGGCTGCCTGCAACCACTGAAGAGTAGCAGGAACAGAAGAGAGGCTTCTCACACCCACTGGAAGGTAATAGTGAGAGATGGTATTGAGAGAAAGTGGAAGCAGCCAGGCGGAGCAATGTCTGCAACCACCCACCCCCAAAATTATGAATTAATTTAATTTCTCAAGATCAAAAACAATAGACTTTTGTTGAAAATCAGGAGCTTCACCAAAACCCAGCCCACATCTTGCCCAGCACCAGTTTCTAGTTGGAGTCTATAAAAATGAATGCGCAAAAGCCATTCAGACAGTAAGTCAGAGTTGTGAGTTGTAAGTTTACAGTTGAGAGCTGAGAAGGGAAGTGACGGAGGTTGCTGAGAGATTCCACATTTCCTGCTGAACACAAGAACCTCCTACTTCAGCCTTGAGCTAAACTTACCAAAGCAGTAAAACAAATTGCGCTAACTCTGAAAGCCAAAACTTACCAGCTTACCCAAGTGTTGCGTCCGGTTTAGGAACGGGTTGGGTCAACAAACACCTGTATGTGAACACAACTACTAATGTACCATTGTACGCATTATCGATATAAAAATAGTAATTATTTTTTCTATATATTTCGAGTGCTGCTTTTTTTTCTCCAATTTGATTGTACAACTTTGCTCGACTTGGACCAGCCCAGCACAAAGTTTACCTACAACAAATTGATCTTGGTCTCCTTATAATCAAATCAATCACAAGATGGGGTAGGGCAGATCAGGATCGAAGAGATCATTCCATTGATCAAACCAGGATCCACCCTGGGCTGACCACAATGAAAAGTTACATCTGTTGCTGTTTGTTGTGAACTAGGATCAAATTAAAGTGTTACATAGAAGTATTCCCTCAATTCATCAGTGGCCAATGTGGAAGTGCCTAAGGTGCACACTGCCTTGAAATGTTAACACCATTGAAAATCCAAGTGCAGTAATCAGTGATGTATTAGAAAATGT